GCTGGAACTACAGGTGTGCGCTACCATGCCCGGCTAATTTTTGATTTATTGTGGAGATGAGGTCTCCCCAAGTTGCCCAGGCAGGTCCTGAACCCGCGGGCTCAGGCAATCCACTTACCTCAGCCTCCCAGAGGCGCAGGATTACAGGCTGAGCCACTGAGCCCGGCTATGAGGGTTCATTTTTAAAAAAATTTTTTTGTCTTGAATAAATTATTCATAGAAATTATACATAGGATGTATAGAAAAATTGCAGAGTTCCCATATGCCCCAGTTATGCTCCCCTTGTTACCAGTTCACATTTATTTTATATTTGCCCCAAGTAACAACCAGTATTGACCCATCATCATCAACTCAGGCCCACACTTGATTCATATTCCCTCAGTTTCCCCTCATGTCCTTTTCTACCCTGGGGTCCCACCCAGGGTCCCATGGGACATGGAGTTGTCCCATCTCTGGAGATTCCTCTGAGTGGATTTTCAGACTCTCCTTATCTTTGTCGCCTGGATGGTTTGGAGGCTGACTCAGGCATTTGCAGAATGCTCTTGTGTTGGGACTGTCTGCTGTTGTTTTCATGATGAGACTGGGGCTATGTGTTTTGGGGAGGAGACCCCAGAGGTGAAGGGCCCATGTCCTCTCACCGTCAATGGCAGGCATCACTGTGATGCTGACCGTGACCGCCCGGCGGAGTTCGGGACCTCAGTTTCTCTGCAGTTGCTCTCTCCCCTTTCTGTGCCCTGCTCTTTGGGTGACCGTTTCTGTGGGCCCACATGCCTGGGAGGTGGCACAGCTGCAGACAGTGTTTGGCATCTTCTGCTTAAGTACTCTGTCTCATCTCAAGGGGCTGTGTGTTTGCCACAGTGACTGAGGGGGTGACAGTGACATGTAGCGGGCAGAAGTGAGGTGTCCTGTCACAAACCATCCTCTTACTTCATCCTGCTGAGTAGTTGGGACTGTGGGCACACCACCATGCCCGGCTAAGTTATTTTTTTCTTTTTTCTTTTTTTTTGAGTCAGAGTCTCTGTTGTCCAGGCTGGAGTGCAGTGGCACACTCATGGCCACCGCAGCCCCGACCTCCTGCACTCAGGTGTTTCTTTTCCCTCAGCTTTCTAAGTAGCTGGAACTACAGGTGTGTGCCACCACACCTGGCTAGTTTTTTGTTGTGTTTTGTTTTATTGTAGAGATGAGGTCTCACCACGTTGTCCAGACTGGTCTTGAGCCCCTGGGCTCAGGCAATAATCTTGTCTCAGCCTCCCAAAGTGTTGGAATGACAGGGTTGAGCCACTGTGCCCAGAATAAAGTAACATTTTTCTCACCTTGTTTCTAAACTTGTTCTTTTTGAAAGCAATGAAAGTTCAATGGAAAAAAACAACTTGGCTGGACGTGGCGACTAATGCCTATAATCCCAGCACTATGGGAGGCAGAGGTGAGAGGATTGCCTGAGCCCAGAGGTTTGAGACTAGCCTGGGCAACATGGCAGGATCTTGTCTCTACAATAAATAAAAAAATTGGCTGGGCGTGGTGGCTTAGCCTGTAATCCCAGCACTTTGGGAGGCCGAAACAAGAGCATTGCCTGAACCCGGGGTTGTGAGACCAGAATGGACAACTTGGTGAAACCTCGTCACTACAATAAATCACAAAAGCAAGCCGAGTGTGGTGGCGTGCATCTGTAGTTCCGACTACTTGGAAGGGTGAGGCAGAAGGATCACCTGAGCCCAGCAGGCTGAGGCTGCAGTTGCCATGAGTGTGCCACTGCACTCCAGCCTAGGCGACAAAGAGTGAGACTCTACCTCAAAAAAAAGAAATAAAAATTAGCTGGGTGTGGTGGTGTGCACCTATATTTTCAGCTACTTGGAAGGCAGAGTCGGAAGGATTGTCTGAGCCCAGTAGGGCGAGGCTGCAGTGGCTGTGAGGTTGCCACTGCATGCCAGCCTGGATGACAAAGTGAGACTCCAACTCAAAAAGAAAAAAGAAAAAAGTAACTTAGCTGGGCATGGTGGTGTGCCCATAGTCCCAGCTACTCAGCAGGCTGAGGCAAGAGGATCGTGTGTGCCTAGGAGATGGATGCTGCAGTGAGCTGATCGTACCACTGCACTCCAGCCTGGGTGACAGGGCCAGACTCTGTCTTTAAAAAAGTAAAAATTAAAATACCATTGTTCTAGTCTGTGAGGTGTCCCGAGGCCCTGGCCTGGATTGTTTCTAGCTAGGAGTCTTCACATGATTTTTACAGGGGATGAAAGAGGCTATGCCAGAATGCTGCGAGGCAAGTGTCCCGGGGGCAGGTGATCTGCCACATGGCTTCTGATGTTTAATCTGCAGTTAAACTGGCTGGCGCTAGTGGTCGGCTTTCCTTTCTGAGTTGCCATTAGCACTTCCTTATGGAGGCTGCGGCCTGGGATGACATGGCCCTCCTCCACCAGGTGGGCAGCTAGCTGTCCCCAGGCTTCAGTTCAGCCTGAAGAGTTGAGACTTGGCCTGAGCATACGACTTTCCGAGGCAAGTTCACACTTACAGCTTCTCCTTGGGTCTCTGGACCTGACTGGAGTCAGCTTGGACTGGTCTGAGCTAAGCTGCAGATGGGCTCATGCCCAGCACCTCCCTGCCACACACTTGGCTGTCTAGGGCCACCCCAGCTGTGGCAGTGCTCACTGGACATCGTCTGACACTTTAGGGCCGGGTGGGACAGCTGCCCCGAGCAGAAGCCTTCTTTGGTGTCTCCACCCTATGGCCTGCCTTGCTGTGTCTGCAGCCCCTGCCTCCATGGCTGACTCCAGTGACCAGCTGGAAGGACAGACCGTTGTATCAACGTCACGGAAGTGAGATTTGAGTGGAGCAGGGAATGGCTGTGGCCCTCTAGGCAGGGTGTCAGCCAGCCGGGCCCTCTTCTGCGTCCCCATCAGACTCTCCTTCCCTCTCCTTTCTGGTTGTAACTATTTGCTGATGAGTATTCTTTCTTCTCCAGTTAGAACTGTGGAATGGTAGACATTTGGAAGGGGGATTAGCAGATGATCTGGCCCAGTGAGAATTGGGGTGGAGGCCAAGAAACTCAGTTTGCTGGGAGGCAAGATCTGAACCAGAAACAGAGAGGTCAGTCAAGAAGTGGTACAGCAAGCCCCTGGAGGCTGGGCCAGGTTACGCTGACCGTGTGGGCAGAGGGGCCACTGAAGGCTCCTGGCAGGTACGGCCACTGGTCCCTGTCCCTGCAGCAGGTCTCAGCTCCCCAGATGATGCCCATGTCTTTTTTTTTTTTTTGAGTTGGAGTCTCACTCTGTCTCCCAGGCTGGAGGGCAGTGGCACACTCCCGGCCACTGCAGCCTTGATCTGCTGGGCTCGGGTGATCTTTCTGCCTCAGCCTTCCAAGTAGCTGGAACTATAGGCACATGCTAAAGTCTGGCTAATTTTTTTTTTTTTTTTGTAGAGTTGAGGTCTCACCAAGTTGCCCAGGCTGATCTCAAACCCGTGAGCTCAGGCAATCCTCTCACCTTGGCCTCCCAAAGTACTGGTATTATAGGTGTGAGCCACCACGCCCAGCTGATGCCCACGTCTTAAGATAAATACTTACTAACCCCCTGAACGTCCTCAAGTGAAGGCAAGAATTAATTTACTGATGAAAAATGAAGAAAACTATTGCTTCAGTTATTTGTAACACCTGCTCAATATATTACCATCATGTACCTTTTCCCTGGACTGCCCCAGGAGAGCAGTTTTGTTATGACCCCTCGAGTGTCTCTGGCCATTCTTTGATTTCCCGTGGAGCACTTAACAGTCAAACAAGGGACATTTTCATGAAAATTGAATGTGTCCACATTCCCACGTGGCTATGGGTGCGCTCTGCTGGTTCACTGACCTCCCTGGGCTCAGTTTCCCTCTCTGCCATGGGAGCAGAGTCCTGACCTGGAGGATTTGATGCCTGCACACGGTCTGACACAGTGTGAGCTGTGGTGATCATTCATGGAGGCCAGGAACCCCCACCCCTTCTCATTAAACATGCATGTAGCCCCTGCTGTGTGCTCACCACCAGGGTGGTGTTTTGATCTGGGTTTCAATTCTCCGTCCCCAACTGACTACTGCTCGTGTTCCTTTATGGCAGGCACGCCACCTCTCTGCACCTGTTTCTCAGTGTTGAAACGGGATCACAGTGGTGCTTTTCATGGGCCTGCTGCTGGATTCAGTGTGGTGATGCCCGTCGAGGCCTGGCATGGTGCCAGCGCAGGGAAGGGTGGAGGAGGGGCAGGTGATGTTAGTGGAAGCTTTAGCCAGCGGGCAGTCCCATGGCTGTATGGATGAGCTTGGGTGCAGTACCTTCCTTTCAGAGGCTGAGTGCTGACCTGAGGACCCAGGGTTTTGGTTGGGATGTGCTGGATGGTGGTGGTGATGGTGGGAAGTGGAGCTGTGGGAGGTGGGAGTAGGGGACAGAGAAGAGGGAGAAGGAGAGACTGACAGCCAGCGTGGCTGTGAGGATGGGGACAGGGAAGGTGTCACTGGCCACTGGCCAAGGGTAGCTGATGCAGAAGGGACGGAGAAGGTCTACCTCCTGCTCCCGGCATCTTACAGGGTCCTTGACTTCTTCCTGGGGCTGAGTGGAACAGTGTGGACAGCACAGTGACAGCAGAAGTCAGCAGGCTTCTGTGGCCTTCTGGACCCTGACAGCATGTGACCTTGTTTCCATGGGAACATGGTGCCATGTCCAGACAACCCAGTTTCTGCCTCATCTTATTCATAAACTAGGGATTATCTGATTTGAGTTTGTGTGGTTAGGCTTCCAGGGCACATCAAAGTAGATGATGCAGATCATTATTTCATTGAGGGTGACATTGAAGTAAGACAGTGTCTTCTTTGGTGAACAAGGATGTCAGCTGGGTATGGAAAAGTTAGTGACGTCTCCACAGTGACAGGCAGATTCACACGTGGGCAGATTCACTCCTGGCCATAGCAGTCTGTCTGTTCGTGTTGCTTTGTCGTTTCTTGATTTTAAACTTCAGCAATGTTTCTTGTTGCAGAGTATGGTGTTTGCGAGAACTTGCGGAAACTGGAGATCACCGGCGTGTCCTGTCGGGACGTCTATGCAAAGCGTGAGTCCATCTGTTTGTTATCATCCATTGTTTACTGTGGACCAAAAGCAGACAGTGCCCATCAACAACAACCAGTAGGAGTAACTTGACCCACAGCTCTGTTCTCAGATGCCACGTCACAGTCGGTCGGCACCTGAATGCTCACTGGTCGTAAGGGTACTGGCGTTGGGCACCCTGTTCTCCTGGGCGTGTCATTAACCTTACCTTCCAGCGCATTGTGGATGTAGGGGTCTCTTGCTGGCACTGAGGCCCTTGAGATCTGAGGGCAGGGGCCGTGCAGGAGATGGCTCTGGTGCCCCTAAGGTCTCTGCTTCCAGGCCTCCAGCCTGGGGGTATGCAGTCAGCCGCTGGTCACTGGGACGTGAACTGTGGCCCTTCCGCCCTGGCCCTCAGTTACAGAGAGGCAGCCCTCACACATCAAACTCTGCCCCCCTTCAGTTTCCCGTGAGCAGGTTGAGCCCCCAGGGGCCCCATTTTCTGTTTCTCCAGTTCCTCTGCTTTCCAGGGTCAACAGTGACACTGAGCGCTCAACATCTCCTTGGCCCCAGACCATTTTCCTGGCTGGCTTGTCTTGTGTGCCAGGAATGGTCCCTTTTCTTGATCTTTGGCCAATGCTCTCGGCTCTTCTGAATGGTCAGATGGTTTCTACGTGTATCTCACACCACACGTTTTCATCTTCTCACTCCTCTTTGGGCTGGTTAGACCATTTGACCTATGTTGGCTCAAAGCGACATGAAGGTGGATTTCTCTCTGAGAGTTGTCAGCACCAAAAGGAACATCCTGGTGGGACACAGGTGTTTGGTCTGCGAGGTTTTAGGGTGCCGTGCAGCACCCAGAGGAATGCGCATGAGGGAGCTCATCTCAGCGGTGGAGGAACTGTCTGGGTGCAGGTGGGCAGGAGGTGTTGTGGCCAAGGGTTGGGTGGGGGTGGGCACGGGAGGGAGGTCCCACAGACAGGACCTTGTGAGATGTTTCACTGCAGATTCTTGACTTCTGCAAATGTCTTTAAAATGTAGAGAATAGTTCATATTATCTGTTACTTATTTTATTTTTTTGAGTCAGTGTCTCACTCTGTTGCTCAGGCTGGAGTGCAGTGGCATGATCACAGCTCACGGCAGCTCAACCTCCTGGGCTCACATAACCCTCTCACCTCAGCCTCCCGAGTAGCTGGGACAAGTGCTACCATGTCCAGCTAATTCTTTGATATTTTGTCGAGACGAGGTCTCGCTATGTTACCTAGGCTGGTCTTGAACTCCTGGGCTCAAACAATTCTCCCACTTTGGCCTCCCAAAGTGCTGGGATTACAGGCGAGAGCCACCATGCCCGGCCATCTGTTATTTAGTACCCCAAAGTGTTTAATCTGCACTGGCCAGAGTGAATTTCAATGTTCATTTTCACAGTGCAGGAACTATTAATATGTTTTTGTGAAGTTGCTTTGAAAGTCATATCCAGGAGAAAATCACTTAGCTTTGACACCAGATAGAAGAAAATCAACCTGAGTTTCTGGCACTGGTGGTAGAGTCGGCCAGCCCAACTGAGCAATGACAAGGCCTGACTTTGAGTTTGCAGGCTGAGAAGCACTGGACAAGGCTCGTGGCTTAATCGGGGCAAGGCTTCCATAGTCCGTCATCCCAGACCCATGGGCCATAAGGCCTACCTCCTGCCTGCCAAGCCCTAGGGACCTGGGCCAGGGCCTGCCGTCGGAAATCTCTGGTGGAGCTCACGGATGCAAAGGACAAGATGCCACAGATGTTCTCCAGCCAGTCAGGCAGCTTTGGCGAGAGCTTGCCTCCAGGGCCCAGGGGCTGCATGTGTGTGAAAGCATTGTGCCGGGTCAGTGAGGAAGAGGGTGTGGAGTTGCGTGAAACTGTGTCCTGAGCCCTTTCCTGCTGTGTCTATTCAGGTATAAACCCTCGCGTGAAGTCGGGACGCTTTATGAAAATTCTCCCTGATTACGAGCACATGGAGTACAGAGACGTGTACACCTGCCGTATGTACCCTGTGGGCTTTTGCTTGGTGGCAGCGGGCTCAGCCGAGACCTGCATGGGGAGGGTCCTCACTTGCGTAGTGCACAGCGGGGGCTCCGAGAGCAGGCTGACCCAGGCTGGGGCTGTCCCTCACCTGGCTGCAGTGCTACTCTGCGGCTTGGCTTTGGTGGGATTCCCGCAATCAGCGGCCCTGTGGCAGCTGTGGGCTGCAGGTCTGGGTGGCATAATGGTGAGGCTGTGTGGACGTGCACATTAATGTGTACCATCTGTTGAGGAAGGTACCACAGCGTGAACAGAGGAACACCTGAGCACTTCTCTATTCTAAGGTGAAGTGCAAGCATCGACATCTGATCACATTTTGATCGCTTATGTGAATTTTAAAGAAATCTCATGCACAGATCCCCACCATAGGCAAGCACACAAAGCAGCAATTAATTCTTTACAACTGAATTCCTCTTCTGAGGCACTCTGGAAATTTCCCTAAGCCAGAGTCCTAGGAGATTAATACAGTCTCCACCTTTTATTAGCTCAGGGTGGTTTAGTGAATTTCAGTTGTCAAGAAAGATACTGAAAATAGCCATTTGCATGAAAGCCCTGCTGGAGTTTCTGGAGGCCACAGCCTCTCCTGCTGGTCCCCAGCCCACGGTGCCCATGGGCCAGTGCTGCCTGTTGGAGTTTTACCCACACCTGAGTCTAATAAATGATCAGTTTCTAACCAAACTCACTGGGGGCAGAAAGAATAAGAGTACTTCATAAAACTTTCCCAGTGCCCTGTCCAACTCGGCATGCAGCTACAGTGTGGTAACTGGGTCCCCTCTTGCGTAAGGGATAGCTCTGGAGTTAGTGCAGGATGCTGGATTTGCTCAGCAGGCTTTGGGATGAGTCTGAGCACTTCACATGACCTCTCACAAAACTCCCCTTGCTTGTATGAACAGGCGTAGAGGTGGACTGTCTGAGTGGGGATGGTGTCAAGGGAGTCAGGAGTCCAAGTGGTCAGGGAGCGAGGGGCTGGCAGGTGTGGGGCGGCAGTGTTTGATGACAGCTGCTGCTCCTTCCTGAGCCTTCTTGGAAGTGGCCTCCCTAGAACATCTTGTCACAGGCCAGTCCTTCCCGCTTGGCAGTCAGTGAGCAAAGCTTCCTTCTCCAGCCCCAGGGGAGAGAGTGGTTGACTTAGCAAGAATCGAGGAGAACATTCGATCCACACTGCCGGACCTGGCCTGGTGGAGGCTTTCCAGTGCCAGTGGACAAGTGCTGAGAGCTCCCTCACATTGCCCTCTGTCCCATGGTGCCGATGGAACGGATGCTGTGGATAGAGCTGGACTAGAATTCTGACCAATCCCAAGGAGGTTTGGGTGACTAGACCCCGGGAGGTCCCCAGACTTGTCCTGGGGGAGCATTCCTTTTGTCCCCAAAGAAGGTGGTGGGAAGCTTCCTCAGCTCATGAGGAAGGACCATGAGTCTGACTCTTTGCCGTGCTTCTGGGGACTGCCTTCTAGAGTTTCTAGACTGCTTAGCTACTGGTGGTGATGTCTCCCAGTTGCCTTTGGCTGGCGACTTTATTATAGGTGTGACTGATGTGCCACAGACCCCTCGAAGGTTTGAGTGTAGTTATAAAGATACAAAGTCACCGTAGAAAACCTGGGAAATACAGAAGAAGTGATGAAAGCACCAGTTGTAAACATTATAGTATCATTCTGTGGACAGATTTAAATGGTGACTGGCCTGTTAGCTCTGTGACCTACGAGAATATCAGGACATGGGGTTCCCATGCATGAAGAAAGAAAGCCAGTTTCAGCCACCTTATCTTGAACCCATGACGTGTCTGTGTTTTTGGTATCCAAGTGTTCTTGGTGTGTTTTAATGGTTTGTTCTCCAGCGTCAGCTAAACCCTTCAGGAAAGTTAGTCGTGACCATGGCTTATGAGTATCTTGGAACCTTGCATGAGTTTGTGTTCCTGTATCCATGTGGGCTATTCCCTGTTCATGTTGATGTCCCTGGACCCTGTGCCGTGGGGCCAGAGAAGACACTGCAGACGCCTACGTGGCAGGGAGTGGCCAACATCCACGAGTGTCAGGCTGTCCTGCCAGGAGTGAGTCCATGTGGTCAAGGCCCAAGGGCCCTGGTGCTGTGGCGGGTTTTGTGACTTTAGAGGGCTGCTCTTGGGGCATCTTTTCTGCTTGCTCTTCCTCTTGGTCTTGTCATTGCCAGGTATTGTGGGTGGCTAGCATCTGGAAGGCTGTGGGAGCCACATGGAGAAACCTGTCGTCCTCAGGACAGGTCTGACATTTCTGCTTGGGTGCAGATTGATGCGTTGTGCATTTGAGCTAAAATAACTTTGTGCAACCCGAGGGCTCTAGACTACTCTAAGCAGGTGCCAGGGATTCAGGGCAATGCTGCCCACCATGGGGTCAGGAGACAGGCCAGATGACTCACAGAGCAGGGTTTGGGGAAGCTGCCCTGCAGAGACCCAGGTGGCCACTTCACAGGTGGGTCAGTGAGGAGAGAAGAGACCCCGGGAAGTGTGACAGCAGAAGGGTCCGATGGAGGTGGCAGAAACCCTAACTGGAGTCACTGGCCAACCCTCCTGTGTCTGCGTGACGCTCCTCCTGGCTTTGTCCTAACTACAACAGCGGCTAGCAAGTGAAGGGGGATACATTTGTTGCATTTATGATTTTCTTGGGTGAGACAGAAATATAGGACCACGTCACTGTCCCAAGCCTCAGATCTGCAGAGACAGGCTTGAGGATTCTGAAATGTTTTCCTGCTGTGCCCGAGCACCAGGCCAGTGTTCCCAGATGTGGTGGACTGTGGCTGTGGGAGTGGCACGTGGAGCACCCTACTGAGGCAGCCTGTGGTGTGCTGAGGAGGGCCATCCCTGCTTGTCGGCTTTGCCTGGTAGGCTGGAGCAGAACTGAGTGTTCCCGTTGAGCTGAGAGGTCCCTTAGCCATTCCTGACTGTTTCTGTTCTGGGGGTGGAGCTTGCCCTAGAGCTGGGTGTGGTTTTATGGACAA